CATGCAGCTTCAAGTCAGTGACTGCCAAGGCAGGCAAATACCCTTTAGTTTTCATAGTGCATGATTAATCCATTAAAAAAATAAGACTTTTCTTCTTGTTCAAGCCACTTATTTAAAGGTTCAAGAAGTACTTTTTTGAGATTTTAACAGATGTGTGTGTGTTGAGCATCAGTTAAGACAGTGTTAGCACCCGTTAGCTTTAATTGTGGGAAATTTTATTTTTATGGGATTTATTTTATAAATTATGGGATTATTTTAAGCTTTTGTCTGCTAATTTCAGCTTCCGGGTTTAAAATGATTTTTGGGGCGGGATCAAAATCGGTGACGTATCGCAAAACTGCTAGTGCAAAGATGATGCGTCGGTTTCTCATTATTATTCATAGAGTTTTCTTATCCTATAAGAAAAGCCTGCTTCTTAATTATTCATGATTGCACGTGCTTTCCGAAAGCAAGACAGACCAGCCAGTGCCAAGCTGTGAGATCCTACCTTAATTACTGGATGAAACCGCGTCCACTGACCCACGGCACACAGTATTTAGTCTTTCATGAAGGGTCGTATGTGTTTGTTTGATTCATGGGGTTTGTTGCATGTTTTTCCCCGCGATCCTGTCAGGGCCGATACAGCAATGCTGTTTGTGTGCAGTGAGCATTTTTGTCAGAAGATCAGTACGAGAATTGGAGAAGGGCGGACGCTGTCTTTTATCAGGAGTTCGTTCACATTTAGACACATCGCCGTGCTGCTGTGTTTGCATAAATCCTCTAGATTACCAGCAGGGCTAATGGTTAAAATAGACAGGGCAAGAGACCTGCTGCACTGAGGCTGCATTCAGACCTTTAATTCAGACCCGGGGATTGAGGGAAAAGACCACATTTAGTGTTTTTATAAACACGATTATCTTTACAATTGTATAAATTGTGGTTGTGTATGAAATTATGGATAGCAAAGTAGCAGGGCATTAAATTAACATTATCATGCATTTTTTGAAAAAAAAATAGACCTTAACCGAAAGTGGGGGGTTTCATGGCCCTTTAAAATGAGTTGAAACACAATTCTTAAGTTTGTGTTTCTTTGGGGGCTTCTTAATTATTTTATGCTCATCTAATTAAATTTGTAAAAACAATTAAGTTACTTTATCGATTTTTGTTGGAACAACATGAAAGAATTGTGTGGAACCCAGCACTTTTTTTTACAGCTTAGTATAAACACATGTGATGATCTTAAGGATGTTTACATACCTGCAAACTCATTACCATTCTGCAAAAATGTTGCACTTATTCATGGCAAGTGAACCTTAAAGGATCACATTCACACACAGTTATTCTATTCATTATTCATTCTTGTTGAAAGTCGGTTTGATTTTCTTTCTTCAACAAAATGAATACAAAAGAAGACCGGGTTTCTGCACCTTCCATCAAATTTCTGACTTTTTAAGATCATTAAGACCATGATTTCTTTTTTTCTAATGGTCTCGTATTATCATTAGAATTTTTTTTTTTTCATAAAATTTTTTATTTCATTTGGGGAATTTGATGTAAAAATGTCTAACAACTATTGTAAATTGTATCTCTTTGCAATAAAAATAAATATATATATATATATATATATATATATATATATATATATATATATATATATATATATATTTTTTTTTTTTTTTTTTTTAGATGTATTGTTGATCATTGGATGGATGTCTGCCTAAACTGAGTAGCTTTACTTCACTGAAAAAAATTATGTCTGCAAAATCGTTGCAAACAATTTATATGTGTTGAATTTAAACAAATAAAATTAAATTTAGTAATGTTCTACTTAATTTGTTTATTTACATTCAGCCCAAATAAATTGATTACTTAACATTGAATATTTAAATGTAAATCCAAGAAATAATTTGTGAATCTTTTTTTTTTTTTGGGACAAAGCAAAATTAAGATCTTTAAAAAAAAACGATTTAAGACCTACAACTCAACATGTCAGTGTACTTGAGACATTTTAAGGCCTAAAAATTTAAGTTTTTAAATTTAAGGCATTTTTAGACTTTTTAAGACAGAGCGGATGCCCTGGAAGAGATTTTGAAAAATGTCATAATCCAGTAGCAATTTACTTCCATAGTATCTTTTTTCCTACTATGATATACAATGGCTACCAGTTTTCAACATTCTTCAGAATATTTTTTTTTTGGTTAAATAGAAAAACAAGCAAACTCATAAACGTTTAGAACCACAGTTTAATTTTTGAGTAAACTATCCCTTAGATAGAATCTTAGAAGGCATTTGGTTTTCATTATACCTTTGTATAATGGTATTCTAATGGTAGTTTCTAATGATATTCAGTAGTTTAGTTCTTTTAAAGGGAATACATGTAGAATTTAGAAACTAATTTGTGACATTTACTAAACTGCACCCGACAACTTATTTCAAAACTAAAACTTTAGAACTACTCTAATGAAGTCAGTCGCTGGGATTCACATCTGCCTAAATTATTGTAAGTTCTTAATAATGTTTCAGTTCTTGAAAAATGTATCACATTTGATTTCCATTTACCAACACGTTTTAGTGTAATTCTTGTAAAAAAAAAAAAAAAAAATGCTGTTAAACCCAATGAAAGACTCCTGAAACATCTTTTTTCAAATAATGTAATAATCAGAATTCGTGAAACAATGTCACTATCCCCATTAAGAAAAAAAAATTACACAACAAACATTTTACCACAGCAATTTATATCAAGTGGGATTTCCTCATAGTATTTATTTTAAAAGAACATTCTGATCAGAAATTCAATTTCATCTTAAAGGGTTATTTCACCTAAAAATTGTAATTCTATTATTAATTGCTTGTTCAAATCCCCTCAGACCTTGTAGACCTTTTTAGACCATTTATCTTTACAACACAAATTGAAATATTTTAGATTAAATCTGAGTGAAAAGAAAAACATTGTCAAAACATTCCATGTGACTTAGGTACTTCAACTTTCCAATTACTCCAAGAGCAGTAATAAATAAACCTGTAAAAACATTGTCCTCAGATCATCAAGGTGCACATTACATTTTTATGTCCCTTTTTGGGTGAACTAACCCTTTAAATTTTGCCACTCGAACATTAGAAATGTGTTAACTTATCTTAGATATGGGTAAAAAATAAGACAAAAATGGCAGTCATGGTGACTTTTATTACATTTTTTAAAGGATCAATTCTCTTTTTGTGATTTCTGGATTGATCCAGAGTTTGCAGGTATGGCGTACTATGAACAATTATGACTATGAAGCGTCTCCATACAGTTTTGATGGTAGTTGGGAAAAAGGACAGTCTACATTTATCAAGCTATGAATAGAGTCCTGCAGGACAAGCTTCTCATAACAGCATGACTCAGTGGAAGCTGCAGTATATGTGTGTGTGTGTGTGTGTGTATGTGTGTGTGTTTCCCCATTTGCCTATGAGCTTTGTCTGTGCAAACTTGCTTTGCATCCTCATATTTGCAGAATCTGTCTGAACTTGCGCTTGTTTTTGGCAATCTCCAACTGAGTTCTGAAGTCTTTCACTGTGCTGTTTTCAGTTTGGAGGGTGGTTCAATGACCAATTTTTTAGAGCTCAGATAGAGAATGACCCAGTTTGCTGAAGTCATGTGTCTCTGAGGGCACGTCCTGGAGTTGTCGCAGCCGAGTCCGTTGTGATCTCCTGATCTTAATGTCCTTGTCGAGTTACCTTCTATAACAAGCCCTTAAGGCCTCAGTTTCTCCCTTTCTTGTCAATTTATACAAAAGCAGAAATACCTATGTGGGTGACACAACTAGGGCTGCACAATATATACAATCAAAATATACATAAATATCCGCCAAGTCGACTGTTTTAGTTAGGTCTTCCGAGTGGAATAAGTACTAATAAATGACCAATTAGGCAGAAAAGAAACCAGAAGGTAATAATGGGAAATTAGTACTTTAAAGTGTTGCCAATGTTTTTAATGAACAGTATGTGCTCTGTATACGTTATTATTATATATTATATCTAAAGATAATTGGACAGTACCGTTCCTTGCACAGAGCCTGTTTATACCTGGTATTAAAATGCATGTTGTGGATGCCATTAAAGACAGCTTTAAAATGTCGAGATTGTCCATCTTCAACCACTTCCAGAGATAATCAAAACACATGTAGTTTTATATAGTCTCAGCGCTTTAACCTTCAACCTTTACTGTCAACCAATTAGAATCAAAGCTTGATAATTTTACATTTGCAAATGTAGATATAAAGTGATAGTTTGTTCAAAACTAAATATTTTGTCACCACTTACGCATATTTCACTTGTTGAATTGTTCTGTTGAACACAAAAGAAGAAAGCTTGAAACTTGTAACCATTGACATCCATAGGAATTGTTTTTCCTACAATTGATACAGGTTTCCAACAATCTTCAACATATCATCTTGTGTGTAGAGCAGTAGAATGAAACTTATAAAGATTTGTAACCACTTGAGGGTGTAAACGTTTAATTTCAGGTGAATTATGCCTTTAAAGGGGAGGTCCACTATGATATCATATTTTAAACTTTAGTTGATGTGTAATGTAGCTGTGTGAACTTAAACAACATCTCTGAATGTAATATGTTCAAAGTTCAATGCAAAGGGAGACATTGGATTTTGCAAAGTTAGCTAAGCAAAGCCTACAGCGAACAAAGTTTGAGCACTACAAAAAAATTCACCCGGGCTAGTGAGATAATAATTGCTTCAGGTTATGGGCATTCACCACACGCATACACCCTGTGCAGCGAAGGGGCGTGGCTAGTGGATCTGTAGTGCTGTAAAGTAGCAGAGAAAGCTAAAATGGCATCCAAACGCTGTTTTTTTCACAGAGCTTTTTCTGTTTTTGTATTTGGGCTTCCAAACGGCATGACACAAAGAAAGAAGTGCTTACAATTTAACTTTAATTATGTTCCAGAGAATAAAAAAAAAAAAAAAAAAAAAATATATATATATATATATATATATATATATATATATATATATATATATATATATATATATATAGCTAGCATTTGACAAAGGACAGCTTTTAAAATCTCTCCCAGTTCAGTGCTGGATTCGTCTAAAAACTCCACCAACCGACGAAGCTGTGGACTGTGAGCCACAGCCTGAAAGTATTTTTGTATGTTTAAATTGATCTATTACATGCACAGTTTCTAGCGTTAATGGTTGGTATAGCTAGGGCGTGAACAAATATGCAAACAATGGGAAATTCTATCAGTCAAACCGTCGTAAACACCCACAAACGTTAGCAGCACTGCAGTGTCTTTATGCTGCCACTTTCCATGCGTTCTACATCTCAAATAATACACTCACAATAGACATGTTAATGTTTCATATTACTTACACGTGCTTATTCCAAATACATGTGAAAAACACTTGTCAGATTTTATTTTTGAAAGCTGATGTAAGGTTCAGCTGTGTCCTCCGTACAAACTGATACAGCTAACAGCTAATCTGACTGAGTATTTACACAGTGCAATAGCGATTGCTTGAATTGCTTGATGATGTGAAGCCAATCTGTGAATCCCAGGACATTATGTTATCTGACCAATCAGAGCCTCTTGAGGGTCATTTTCCTGCTAGCTGAGTAGCAGTATGTAATCAAAGTAAGTTACATGAATAAATAACAAGGTTTTCTACAAATGAAGCATGAGCACACATTGCTTTGCATCTCATGAACACAGCCAAGCTTCAAAAATACACTCTGGACCACCCCTTTAAGAATAAAATAGTACAGTTGAAAAATACTGTAACATTATTTTTGCTAAATTGTTTCCCTTTTCTTTTGATTTACTGGATTTATTAGGTATGGAGTGGTTGTAAAATATTAATATATGTTTTATTCTGATAACATTTCCAAGTTTCAAATAAAATTGTAATTTAGAGCATATACTGTTTGAAAACAATATACATATTGTGCAGCCCTAGTCACAATCATAATTTGACACATATAAAGCAATTTCAGCAAAAAAAAAAAAAAAAAAAAAAAAAAATATATATATATATATCCAGAAAACCAAGTCTCTCCAAGTCAATTGTACTTTTCCAGAGGTGTAAATGAATGTGAGTATGTAAAGAGCAGCGGTTTGTGTGATTAAGAACCAGGGAAGTGTGTTTCTGGAAGAATTGAGAGAAGATACCAATGCAGTAGTCTTAAGGTGGTTTTCCAGACAAATAGGAGATCAGGGCAGCGATGGCACAGATGTAAGTGATGATGCCGAACACGATTGAAAGGATGGAGAGCCACAGAGCCTGCCGAGAAGCTGCACTGGCACCCTGGAAATCTCCTTGTGCTGACGCTTTGTTTGTCTGAAGCGGAGAAGAGAGAAGGTAAACAGTATTAATCATAGTGAATGATGGACATTCCTCTGCTCTCTCTCATATGACTACAGGAATTACAGTAGCTTTCACATAGGATTGTTCAAAAGCACGCATATTTTACACCTTGTAAAAAAATTTATATGATCAAAAAGCAATGACAATTTTTTTATGATACTCTAATTAATTTCAATAAGCTAATTAGGTTTCACAAAATTTCAATACAATTTAAAACTATGCAGACTGTCTTTAGCTAAAAGCAAAAAAAAAAAAAAGTTTAAGTTTAGGGCAAATTTTCATTTTTGGGTGAACTATTATTTCAACAGTGCATTATTACACTATCCTTTCTTTTAGTTGTTTCCCTTCTCTTTTTACCTTTGATCTCCTCATTCGAGACAACACCTCCTGTTTCATTGGAAATCAATCACCGGAGGTCTCTCATTATGACACTAATTAAAGTCTGAATGAAACCCATTGATCAGAGTCTCGTCAGCTGTGTGGGCTGAACATTTGCTTTGCCACATCCATTGAAAAAAAGTCCTTTAAACTGTATACAAGTTCCATAATGTATGGAAAAAGCAACACCCTGTGGAAATAGGAAGGCAATCAGATTAGAGAGTTGAAGTTGTTCAAACATTACATCCGGTGGTCAGTAAATGGTTTGTGGGTCTGTCTGAGGATGAGACAAAAGCTGTAATGCAAATGGCTTTGACTTGTATTATTCTTTTGTTTGGAACTTTGATTCACTGGTGGCATAATCCTGTAAATCTCAGTGTAATCCTGTCTAAACCTTCAGGTATGATTCCATAATGTTCACATTCACTCCTAAAAGAGCTCTAGACTTGAGATTAGCAGCTAATCTCTGTCACTTTCGGTCCATCTGCCCTTTAGACTCTGTCTGTCTGTCTGTCTGTCTGTCTGTCTGTTACAAACAGAGGTGGACACATTCCACAATTTAGGTACTTGAGGTAAAGCACACATAACCTTATAAAATATTACTCCAGTAGAAGGATAAAGTCTTCATTTTCAATATTAAAGAGCACTTATGATGAAAATCTGTTTAGACAGAACTGTTTGCAGGTATTGTGTGTCGTATCGGGGTGATATAAAGACAAAACGTCTCTTTTTTTAAAATTTCCTGACGTTAAAATAGGATCCAAATCCCTCCCATTTTGAGGCCCACCGCAGCGTGATGTAGGACTGTGGTCCACCCAACAATATCTGACTCAGGCACACTCTGACAGGCACATGGGAAAAGTGGGCGAGGAGTACTAACATTAAAGGCACAGGCAACAACAGCTACATTGTGTTAAGAGCAGAAAATCTCAATAATCTGAAAGGTATAATAAATAATCTGATGGGTGTTTTAAGCTAAAATTTACAGACACATTCTGGAGACACGAAATACTAAATCCTTAATCTTGAAAAAGGGGTAAAATAAGTGCACTTTAAGTCAAAGTACGAAAGTACAAAAGTCAAAGTCATAGTTACTGATGACTAGGCCCACACGAAATCTACGCATGCAGAAATCCGCAGAGTTTTTACTACTTATTTACTGGTGTAAATGTATTTGACTTAATATTTATTCAGTTTTTAATTAATTTCAGTAATATTACTGTGATATATAAATAGTATATAGTAGATAGTTAAAATAGTCTTTTAGTAGATAGTTGCTTTGCTTACTAATTTACCTGGTCTAATTTGACTTGCATTGTAAACATTAAATAAAAGTTAAAAATTTATTATTTTTTATTTCATAAATTAGGTTTTTAGTTATGATATTCCTAAAAAATATTCAGCAAAAATGTGCAGATTAAAAAAAAAAAAAAATGTTCTGAATTTGCAAAAAATGACCACAGATTCTGTCTGGCCCTACTGATGACTGATCATTCCTGAAAACATGTGAAATCACATTCACATGCTGAACTGAACCCCATGTGGCTCAGTTTGTAGTCAGTGAATCATTTAATAGAGACTCACTCTGATCAGATCATTTGAATCAGCGAGCAATTTAATGGAAACTCACTCTGAACAAATCACTTGAATCAATGAGTTGTCAGTTAAGTTCACAAATATATTGATGCTAATGCTCATCAGTTTCCCAATGAAGTGTTGAAGATTGCTTTCATTATTTCCCTTCTTACAGGACGAGCTGTACAGTGGGCGGATGCTCTATGGAATACCACCAGTCCAATGATGGCCACCCACTGTTCAGTCCAATTTGTGAGCCGACTAATTCATCTCTGATCAGATGACAATTTCTTCCTCCAGAATAACCTTTAAATGAGCTTCAAATAAGCAGGAAATAATGAAGTAAAAGGCATAATGTTTTGTTTTGGATTGTAGTGGAGAAAAAGTAAAAGTTTCCCATAATAAAAGACTCTTATGAAGTACAAACATATGTTCTTAAGTACAGTAGTAAAGTCAAAATACATGAATACTGTCCACCACTGGTCACAGGTAATGTAAACTGATGAAGAGAACCCATCAATCTATCACATTAATTTTAATTTGATTTGGGGTCATTAATACAGTCATTCTGTATATTTCAAAGTTCTTAAGGAGTGTATTGTGAGAGAATAGAGCTCACTACTGCAGTCCTTTATATAATAGACTTATAAGCTTATGATTAGTGTCTACTCAATAAGTCAACATTTTGGTCTGTTTTCTCCCATTGATTATTTGCACGTTTCATAAAATTCCACTGAGCACATAACATTAGAATTCTTCAAATTTATATAATTGTACAAGGTTATTTTCACACCCTCGGCTCGTTCCTGCAGCTCCAATCACCACTCTCCCACACCATTCACCACTCACCACAACCATGAACAATCACCTGATTATTGATCACTCGCATCTGCACCTGCACCTGCAATCATCCATGCACTATATAAACTCACCTTCTTTATTTACTCACCGGTTGGAATCAAAATTAAATGATTCTCCTCATCGGCTCTCCCTCTTCCTCATTTTACTCTTCCATGGATGTCCTTCTTTACCTGTTAATGCAAACACACCTGCTTAAGGGAAGCGACATAAGCTTGGTTGGTGTAATAAAAGATCTGAAACTTACCATTTGAACTGTGTGTGAGATCACTCTCCCTCTATTACACCACTTACCTGCTTCATCTCTCAGGATTTGTTGCATTGCGTAAATAAATACCCTTAAAGATATAATCATCTTTGTCTTTGTTGTGTGACCGAGACAGTATTCCAGCCTAAAGAAAAGTCTAAAGAGGCTAATGAAGACTAGCACTGCTCTGACTGAAAGCTCTCTGGATCTGTTTGCTGGAATGGTGCATCCCATGTGGCAAACCTTACCTACCACTCCCCTGAGCGCTAATGCCAACCCTGTTGTCATCACAAGCACGCTGCTCGCTCACCCCGTTTTCTCCAACAATGCTCTCTCTATATTGAGGCTAATGCTCATCAGTTTCCCAGTGAAGTGTTGAGGGTTGCTTTTATGATTTCCCTTCTTTCAGGACGAGCTCTAAAGTGGGCGGATGCTCTATGGCAGTGGTCACTAAACTTGTTCCTGGAGGGCCGGTGTTCTGCAGATTTTAGCTCCAACAAGGTCTTACTAGATTTTAGCTCAAGGTCTTACTAGGTATACTTAAAACATCCAGGCAGGTGTGTTGAGGCAAGTTGGAGCTAAACCCTGCAGGGACACCGGCCCTCCAGGACCGAGATTGGTGACCCCTGCTCTATGGAATACCAGCACTCCAGTGATGGCCACCTACCAGTCCTTTAACAACAACTTTAAAGAGGTGTTCGCTGTCCCACTCACCCCCCTCTCTGTGGACGATGAATTGATCACTCTACACCAAGGTAACACCACAATTCACCCTGCACTTCTGAGCACTTGCTGCTAGCAGTGGCTGAAATCAAGTGGCCCTCCTCGCTGCTTACCATAAAGGTCTAAAACTGTAAATCCGCAAACAGATGGTGATTTATGATGACAGTGCTAATTTGGAAACTTTTATTAAAAAAGCCATCAGTATATCTCAACACCTATCAGCCTGACCTACCTCATCGTTTGCCAATCATGTTTTACCCATCAGAACTCCATCACCACCACAGGATATGGAAGAACCCATGATTACGAATGCCTTGACACCTCTAAACGACAATGACGAATTCGCAACCGACTCTGCCTCTACTGTGGAGAACAAACTCACCTCATTTCCAGCTGCCCAGTCCGCCCGCCTCGTCTAATGGTGATTCAAGTTACACTTACTCCATCAGTATCCCATACACCTTATATTAAAGCTCAACAAATTGTGAATTCTCGTACTATCCCCATACATGTGTTGGTGGATTCTGGAGCGGCTGATAACTTCATGTCTTCTCACTTCATTACTAAACATCATATCCCCTCTGTGCATAATGAAGTTCAATACCAGATAACCACCATACAAAACTCACCATTAGACAATAGCAAGATATCCTGATGAACAAAGGAATTAATCATCCAGTCTCCTCTTAACCATTCAGAAAAATATGCTTTACTCATCCTTCCCCGAGCCAATGTTGACGTAATTCTGGGCAGACCCTGGCCCGCAAAGCATCATTCCAGCATCAACTAGAGCACTAGAGTAATCCTGGGTTGGAGTGCATCATGCACCAATCATGGTTACACTGCTCCTCCTGTTGTTCACACTCCACACCTGGATTCCCTCTCCATTCACGCCACCACCATAGAAAATCCTTACCACTCCTCCGCAGTCTCCATTCTGGCCATCAACACTCCCTATCTCGACATCTTCAGCAAGGATTGAGCCACACTGTTACCCCCACATCGGTCCTGGGAATGAAGCAACGACCAGCTGCCAGACGGCAAACTACCGTAGGGAAGGATCCACCCTCTTTCCCGTCCTGAGCATGAGGCGATAAAGAATTATATCGACAAGTCTCTTTGTCAGGGGTTCATCAGACCATCCACTTCTCCATCTGCTTCGAGCGTTTTTTTTTTTTTGTAGCAAAGAAGGATGGAGGACTAAGGCCCTTGACCTCTGAAGTGCATACAACCTGATCCATATCCGAGAAAGAGACTGATGGAAAACGAATGAAACAAAATCTTCTGAGACTTCCTCCATTGTTTCACAATTGTATAGATGACATCTTAATCTACTTCCGTAACATGATAGAACACCAGTCTTATGCACAGAAGTTCCTCCACCGTCTCTGTGAAAACCACCTTTTTCTGAAAGCAGAGAAAAGGGTAAATGTGAACTCCACAAAACCTTGGATACATGATCACCACTTAAGGGATCAGTATGGAAGCAGGCAAAGTGGACGATGGGACGAACCAAAAACCCTGAAAGAACTGCAAAGGTTTCTGGGGTTCGCCAACATTTACTGACACTTTAAAAAGAACTACAGCCTCCAACTCCCTTAACCTCCCTCCTTAAAGGCGGTCATCGCACACTTTCTTGAAACCCCTGATGCACGCCAAGCCTTTGAACAACTTTGTGTTCACTACAGCTCCCATCCTCCAACATCCAGATCCCACTCTGCTCTTTGTTATGGAGGTAGACGCAGCTGATGCCAGAGTTGACAACGTCCTGGACGTCCATGGACACCCTGGATCCGACACTCCGTAAGGCATTTCACCACCGACACCAGAACACCCAGCTTCCTGAGGGCGTGGTCCTCCGCGCCAGTGGTCTAGGGTGCCTGGAGTCACCTGTGGAGTGGGTGGGGGTACTGTCATACCCTCGGCTCATTCCTGCAGCACCAATCACCGCTCTCCCTCACCATCAACCACTCACCAAACCCGTGAACAATCACCTGATTACTGATCACCGCACCTGCACCTGCACCTGCAATCACCCATGCACTATATAAACTCACCTCCTTCATTCACTTACCGGCTGGAATCAAAGTCAGATGGTTCTCATCATCGGCTCTCCCTCTTCCTCTTTGTACTCTTCCGTGGATGTCCTTCTCCTGTGGATGTAAACATACCTGCTTAAAGAAAGTGACTAAAGCTTTGTTGGTGTAATACTGAGGATCTGATATTTACCATTTGAACTGTGTGTGAGATCACTCTCCCTCTGCTACAACGCTTACCTGCTTCAACTCTCAGCATTTATTGCATTGCACAAATAAATACTCTTAAAGATATAATTATCTTTGTCTTCCTTGTTTTACTGTAACAGTTTTGAGTATAAGAATAATAATAATAGCACTGTCGACCAAGAGTCTATTTTAAGGAACAATTTGTAAGATTTTTGTCATTAAAATATTCTAAAACCACTTAAAGAGTCTTTATATTTCGGTCACTCATGAACCTACTATTAACATCATAGGCTCTTGATTTCCAATTTTCAGCAGCACAGCACAGGGAAGCATTTTAACAGAACTTAAAATGTATTTAGCATAATAAAACAGCACTGCTTCTTCCCCACTTGATCACAACCAGTAAGTTGCCGACCATACTATAATAAAAGCTTAGCTGCTTTCATGCCAAATTACGATTGTCATCAGTAATTGCTTCACTGCTCTCATTACACCGCTACGGCTTTCAGTCTTAAGGACTTTGCACACTGAAGTCCGAAATTCTTGTATGATTTTTTTTTGTTTGCATTTGTATGCCATTCATAGTCATCTCGTAAAAAATCCTAGCACACTGAGTCTGATGCATATTAATTTTTCCATTATAAAAAAAAACGAGAAACATTTCAGAGTCAGTAAGCAGTAGTACTCTGTTCTCTCTTCTCCAAAGTAAAAGAAGAAAAAGGAATAGGCTACATGTTGTGTTCATCCAATACTGCATTGAGGAAGGAAAGTTCAGCTCATTATCAAAGAGCTGTGCTATGATTATACCGAAATGCAAAGTTTATTTCAGGAAATCAGCTAATTTTTGATTCATCCTTGTGATACTTCACACATTCACGTACGTAAACAAATCTTGAACAGAGACTGGCAGTACCTATAGACATTGCAATATATGGTGGACGTTGACGTGTTGAAGCAATGGACCACATGCAGATCATGCTTTCTATATCAGAACACTTTCTATTTCAGTATGCCAAATACATGGAGACACACCAAGCAGAGAGGTTCTCCAGTTACTGAATCCAGCATATAGGGGTTCTCAACTGTCCGCCACATTCTGAATTTATTTTATACACTGTGAAATTTATCTGTTGCTCAAATAACGGTGTTTTGTATTTAGCTTTTCACTTGTATGGTGTTCCTAGTTCGATTTTTTTTTTCGACGGACAAAAGTTTCAGAGGGAGTGTGTTAATATGATAGACACAACGTTAGGTCAAATACATGAGTTTTGAATACTTTGGCTCATCCATGAACATGAATTTTGCACAGGTCCTACAGGATGTAATGAAGACAACAACTCCCACAACTCAATGACGGCATCATCAAACTACAATTTTGTTTGTTGTAAATATGCGCCCTCTAATAAGAAAAGTTACATTCTGTGCCCTTAAAGTGTTTGAGTGCCTCCTACTTCTGTATTGATAATATGTGAACAAAGCTTTTTTAACTATATATTTTCCTAAACATTGGCCCTTTACTGTAAAAGCTATATTTCATAATTGACGTTGATTTCAAGTTGATTTCCATATTCATTTGTGTTAAATAATGTGTTCTGGCAATGTTATATTTACATATATGTTTTAGTTCAGTTTTTCCACTGCTCATGTCTAGTACGCTGTCTCACGTAAGAAGTTAATGTGTTGCACACATTTGGGAGAACACAATATTTTGGATTATACTTATAACCTAAGTGGGTTGTGACAAGATTGACAGATGTACAGCATACACTCAATGCATCACTTAGTGGGTTTCCACAAAGGCTTCTGCATCTTGTTTATATACACTATGAACAGCAGCTACGCTAATTATTCTCTCTATTCTCTATTTCCACCTGGGGATACTCATCCCGAGGTCCTTAGATTATGCGGAGTCACTGATTGGATCCAAGACCAGCGACGAGATGATCCCAAGGTTTCCATATCCGGGACCAGGCCGTATCCTGAGCTGCTGCTGCGCTGATGGTCATGGGGAGTGGAGAACATGAGTCTGATTCCAGTGAAGCTCCAGGGACAGACGAGTCTTCGCTGAGGCCATCTTCCAGCCTCCACCGCGGTGACTGAAGCTCTGCACAAGACTTTTGGCCAGCGGAGAAATTAAAATGGTCGTGCCCAACTGAGTCTGGTTCTCTCAAGGTTTTTTCTTCACTCTCCTATCAGGTGAAGTTTTTTTTCCCTATCCGCTGTCACCACTGGCTCGCATGGTTCAGGATTGGTAGAGCTATGCATCGATGAATTTGCTCTTCAGTGTCTGAACTCAGTAATGATTTTAAATCACACTGAACTGAGCTAAACTGAACTGAACTTAAACACTAAAAAACTAAACTACACTGTTCCAGTTACTATGACCATTAATGTGAAGCGGCTTTGACACAATCCACATTGTAAAAGTGCTTTACAAATAAAGCTGAATTGAATTATATAGATGTGTGAAACATTTGATATAAGATAAACACAAAAATCAAAAGAACTTCATGAACTCTTGTGTTTTGGGTAAGCAAGTTCAACATGCCAGATATACATCAAAACTTGTGGACTAATCATAGGAAGGCTACATGTACCATACTCTTACCTTTTGGGAAAGATAGAACGCAGCAATGCCCAGAGGCCAGAAACAACAGAGCATGGAGAAGAAAGCCAGACCCAGGTAATCTTGAGGGATCATGATGGGAAAGTTGCTCTCACTGTCTGTATCACTGAAGTCATCACTGGAGGAGTCCTGTGGGTAAATATCAAATCCATCAGCACTGCAGAGTAAAAGTCTTGAGAGGTTGCTTGTTGCATAATAAAAATGAAAGTAAGAAATAGGACTAAATCACACACTTCCCAGTTGTTTGATTAAGAATGGGATGATTTGTTTTGGTTAAATATGCAAATGAGACATTATTTCATTAAATGATTACTTCGCCCTGATGTTGTTTAACCCCCTGAGACCTCCATTCTTCTCCAAAATACAAATAAAAAGATATTAGCACTCTGGCTCTCCATATACATGTCTCGAGATGTTCAAAGTCCAAAATAGAAAACTTCGATGTGACTTCAGAGGTCATATTGAGAGGCCAATGTCATACTGCTCTTAGTAAACTTGCACCCTTTCACTCAGGTCAGGGTGCAAGTTTACTACAGGCAATATGATGCTTGTGTGTTGTGCTGATGACCTGACTTTTTTTTGTCATGTCAATGTCAATTTTATTTATATAGGACTATTAAACACAACCAAAGGTTGACCAGTGTGCTGCACAATACAAATAACAGAGAGAAAGATATAAAATTAGAGCTAAAACAAACAATTCTCACTGATAAAATGCCAAATCAAAAATATACGTTGTTAACCTGGATTTAAAAACACAGAGAGATGATATACAGTTGAAGTCAGAATTATTAGCCCCTCTTTGAATTGTTTTCTCTTTTTTAAATATTTCCCAAATTATGTTTAACAGAGCAAAGAATTTTTCACAGTATGTCTGATAATATTTTTTTTCTTCAGGAGAAAGTCCTATTTGTTTTATTTGGGCTAAAATAAAAGCAGTTTTTATTTTTTTAAACACCATTTTAAGGACAAAATTATTAGCCCCTTTAGGCATTTTTTTCAGATAGTCTACAGAACAAACGTTCGAGGTTACTAGAGTAACCCTTCGTTCCCCGAGGAGGGGAACGGAAGCACTATAAGTGGATTTGATTGTAAAATCCACGCATTGGGAGGTTCGGTTCAGAAGCTACTCGTCTGAAAGAGTATTGAACGGGCCAATTAAGAATGAATTGGCAGCGCAAGCCTGCGCAGGTGAGCGGCATAAGCAATCAACTGAGTATATAAGCTCACCTGGCGCAGCAGACGCTATCCTTTTTAAGCTGAAGAGACTTTCAACAGCTAAGGGACAGTCATTATGGCGACGGAGTATAGTGCTTCCGTTCCCCTCCTCGGGGAACGAAGGGTTACTCTAGTAACCTCGAACGTTCCCCTTCGGGGGGAACTTCAGCACTATAAGTGGATTTGATTGTAAAATCCACGCATTGGGAGCCCATTGAAAGCGCCATAATGACTGCACCTTACCAACACCCCCGATGAGGAGATAGTCAAGCAAGCGTGACGCATCCACATCATGGGGGGCGCGGTCCTCCAACGTGTCCCTGGCCCTAATTTATCCTACTTCAACAGAAGTTTTACGGATTTATATATATTTTTTGGGAAGTCGTGAGCATCTAGATAATTCTAGGAAAATACGACAGTACAGGCACGTGCACACATAGGGCTCAACCTGTGCAGTGCACATGGCCTTTTTAGTCTTGGATAGAAAGTGCCCTCCCAAAATGATCAAAAGTGCCCCCGCGACGCGGCACACCCTCAGTCCCGCCCTTCAGTAGGCGCGCGACAACACCGCTCTTCAGAACGCGCGCAACAACAACCAACCCCCCCCCCCCCAAACCCCCCCTCCCCCCCGCTCTTCAGAACGCGCGCAACAACAACAACCCCCCCCCCCCCCCCCCGCTCTTCAAAAAATTTCTCCTGCACATGCCCTTTGGATGGTCTCTGCACGGCCCTGCGACAGTACGTTGGGAAGCGTGCAATCCCGATAGGGAGGACGCTGCGGAGGCCATCCGTTACCCAAGGGGGGATAGATGGCAGAATTTACATATGGACTAGCCCTAAAAAGGGGGAGTACGCATAGCAAAAGATTTAGTGGTTAGCGGGGAGGGAAGACACGGGTCCGCCCAGGGGGGGGGGACTTAACCGTGGCTGAATAAGCATATGGGATCGCCTAGTGGGGACCACGCATAGCAGGCACCTTTACCCAAAACGCGGGCTGACCAGCGGGCAGACCTACAACGTAGTGGGCCAGCAAGTGACTCCTCCGCTGAGTCAGTGCTGGGGGCCACGGAGGAATCTGCAGGGCTCACCTGACGGGGAACTTAACTGACAGATAAAAAGGCGCACGTATCTCCGTGTTAGGGAAAATGGCGCAGCAAGCGTGTTTCAACACCCTACCGAATTGTTTCCTCAATCACCAAGGGTTACCTAATACCCTTGAGGAAACCGGCTCCACTCGCAGATTGTAAAACCTTGCAAATGTGTTGGGTGTCAACCAGCCCGCAGCTCTACAGATGTCTGTTAGAGGGGCGCCGCGTGCGCGCGCTCGAGAGGATGCGAAGCTCCGAGTGGAGTGCGCACGCGCTCTCGGGGACGCGGCTCATCTCGGCTCTGATAGTGAAAGAAAGGCATCCACAATCTAGTGGGAACTTATTTCGGTACGGCACTTCCCTGCTGCCGACCGCTATAACAGACGAAGAGCTGCTCAGATGATCTAAACTCTGAGTGCGGTCCGGATAATACGCAAAACGCGAACTGGACAATAAATAAGGGCTGGGTCTGCCTCCTCCGAGGGCAGCGCTTGCAGGCTCACTACCTCGTATTAAAACGGAGTGGTAGGAACCTTGGGCACATATCGCGGGCGGGGTCTCATACGTGAGAGAAGCCAGCCCAATTACAGGCACGAGTCACTGACCGAAAAATGCCTCCGGGTCCCCGACCCTCTAATCGATATCAACGCGACCAGCAGAGCTGTCTTCAGGGACAGAAATATACTGAGTCGAGGATCGAAGGGATCTGACGCGGCTTGTGTAGCGAGGGCGAGATCCTAAGAGGGCATGAGAGGGGGCGGGGTGGATTAATTCGCTTAACGCCCCTGAGGAACCGGATGATGAGGTTATGCGTTCCCACGGTGCCGCCAGCCACCGCGTTATGAGAGCGGAGATGGCAGCCACGTAACCTTGAGTGTGGAGGGCGACAGCCTGCTCTCCAACTTCTCTCGGCGTAAAGAAAGCACAACGCTGATCTGGCAAATTACGGGGGTCTTCTCAGCGAGAGACACACCATTCAGTGAATAGACTTCACGTCAGGGCATAGGCGCGCTCGGGGAGGGGGCTCTAGCCCGAGTGACGGTATTAGCCACCGCAATCGGAGGTTACCTAAGTCTTCCTCGCGTCTAAAAATCTCCAAAGATCGGCGAGGGTGCCAGGTGGTGCCCTGTCCCTGAAAGAGTAGGTGCTCTCTCGAAGGGACTGCCAGGGGAGGGCTATCGCGAGGGAGAGCTCTGACATCCAGGTCCGGTTGAGCCAGAGGGGCGCAACCAGCAACCTGTTCCTCGTCCTCCCTGACCATGCACAGTAACTGCGTGAGCAGGCTCACTGGGGGAAACGCGTATGCGCGTGCCCCGAGGCCAGCTGTAAGCCAGTGCATCCGTGCCGAGAGCACTCGGTCAGGGAAAGAACAACTGGCAATGAGCGATCTCGGGGGAAGCAACAGATCGATCTGGGCTTCCCCGAATCGCGCCCATATCAGCTGAACAGACTCGGGGTGGAGTCTCCATTCTCCAGGACGCAAGGCTGCCGTGAGAGCGCATCGGCTGCACGGTTGAGCTTGCCTGAATATGAATGGCTGCAGCGATTTCAGCCGCGGATAACTCCAGAGGAGCAGACGGCGGGCGAGCTGAGACATGCGGCGAGAGCGCATACCCCCTATACGGCTGATATACGCCACCGTCGCCGTACTGTCCGTCCTGACCAGCACGTGTTGCCGCTCCAACACCGGAAAAAAACGGTGGAGAGCGGGGAACACTGCCAACAGCTCCAGGCGATATGCCAATGCAACTGGGTACCTTTCCACAGGTCCGCAGCCGCATGCCCGCAACGCACAGCCCCCCAGCCCGTGTTGGAAGCGTCTGCTGAAACGACAACAAGACTGGACGCCTGTTCTAGAGACACCCAGGCCTGTAGGAACGAGGGGTCGCTCCAAGGGCTGAGGGCGCGGCGACACAGCGCAGTAACAGAGACTCGGTGTGCGCGCGCGTGCCATGCGCGTCTGGGGACTCGATCGTGAAGCCAGTGCTGAAGTGGTCTCATATAGAATAATCCGAGCGGCATGAAGCGGCTGCGGATGCCATATGCCCCAGGAGCCTCTGAAATAGTTTCAGTGGGACCACTATTTTACTGTCGAGCTCTCTCAGACAGTACAGCATCAGCTGAGCGCGCTCTCCGGAGAGGCGCGCTGCCATGGTGACCGAGTCCAGCTCCAGCCCGAGAGAAGAGATCCTCTGCACGGGGGCGAGTTTGCTCTTTTCTCGGTTGACCTGAAACCCCCACAGGTGGAAGTGCCAGAGCACTTTGTCTCTGTGCATAATCAACTCTGTGCATAATCAAAAGAGAGGGCAATTCAGCCAGTCGTAAAGAAATTGAGTATGCAGATGCCCGCGAGCCGAAGGGGCGCTGAGGCACCCTCCGCGGGCTTGGTGAGGACCCGCGGAGACAGAGAGAGCCCGAAGGGGAGGGCTTTGTATTGCCAAGCTCGACCTTCAACGCAAACCGCAGAAACTGTCGGTGGCGAGGAAGAGTGGAGACATGGAAATACGCGTCCATCAGGTCTAATGCTGCAGACCAACCCAGAGGACGAACGCACCGGAGGATGCGCTTCTGCGTGAGCATTCTGAACGGCAGCTTGTGCAGGCAGCGGTTCAAAACGCGCAGATCTAGGATTGGCCGTGACCCACCGCTCTTTTTGGGCACGATGAAGCGTGGGCTGTAAACCCCGCTCTCCATCTCGGCTGGAGGGAGCGGCTCGATTGCATCCTTCGCCAGGAGGACAGCAATCTCCTCTCGCAAGACAGGGGCGGACAGGGGGCTGACCCTGGTGAATACACACCCGTGACTTGGGGGGCCGTTTCGCGA